GATGTGTCTCTGTCTCCCTCCCCACTCACAAGACTGGCAATAAGCTGGACCTTTTCTTCACCGGACACTGCTCTTGTACAGACCTCTCTGTTACTCTACTTCAAGTCTCTGATCATTACTTTGTGTCCTTCTCTACCTCCTCCTCCTCCTCCATCCACCCCCACACACCGCACCCCCTACCCCCCTTCTCCGTTCTCTCTCCTTCATTCACTCTCTCCCCCACTTCCATACCCCCATGAGACATTCATCCTGGAGAACACAGCAACACCAAGCCTATTGGATACCATGTGGTCAATTACTCCACACTAACAAACCCGCCGCGCGCTCTCTCTCTCCCTCGCTGGGTTTAATTTGTATCAGACCCCCACAGCACCGGGGAGAAGCCCGGCTGTTACCAAAGCAAAACAACACGTTAATGCCTGGACTCAAATCCACAGCTATTGGTCTCCTATGTTTTAAAGACGCCTGCGTCAACTTAAGAGATACTTTTCATTATCTTGTGAAATCAGTTACCGCCAGCAGGGTTTAAAACAACAAACCAATGACTCTCCATTGTCCTTTAAAAAAGAGTATTGAAATAGCTAGATTTATGCATGGAAAACAATTATTACTGCATCCAAAGAGAGGTGAAATGATTAGTTTAACTGGCGACAGTAGTCAATTATCTGCTTAAGTCATTTATCATGCAAAACTGCCAAACATTTGCTGCTTCCAGCTTCTCAAATGTGAGGGTTTACTGCAGTTGTCTGGTTTGTATCATTGTAAAATGAATATCTTCGGGTTTTGGAGCAAGCTCTGTGAAGATGTCACCCTGGAAAATAATAGCTGTTGTCCTACGTCCAAATATTATTCAAAATCTGCTGATATAAGTGTACGCAGACGACATGCGGCTACTTTTAAAGTTAAGAGACTCAGACGGCTGCCTCTGCCACAGTGTGACAAATCTTACTGTTACTGATGATGGACCTTAGAAAATTAATCCGAATACCTGAGTAAATTTAGATAATATCTCTGATTATATGTCTGTTCACATCTGTAATGAAGCAAAGAGCAGGTATAGCTGAACATATTTAGGTAATATAACAGTTTTAGTGTAATTGAAATCATTCAGAAAATCCAAAATCCATCTCATGTAATACATGTCATTCTCTTTCACCGATACCCTGGTGCTAATACATATAAACCATTTCTCTCTTTAAATATTTGACTTTTTGACTATAAGTATACCGACATGCCATTATATTCTTTCACAGCTGCACTCCCTGTATCATAGGTGCTGACTCCTTAAATGTAAATGTTCATTGCACATGAAGCTTCTCTACTATAGCTATGATTCAAGGAAACAAGATATGAGACGCTCCCTGGCCAATGGAAGCAAACTTATGTCCTGTTTTTACACACAATGGTGCTTCCTCTTTTCCAGAATTTATCAGGGCCGAATGCTCCACTTATAGAAACATCCAGATATCAAATGATTCCTTTAACAGCATGAAGCAGTAATCCTTCCACACAGCCTTTCTGCAAATCTGGCACATCTGAAATACTGAATGGATTAACTTTCCCTCCTTCTAAGATAAATGTGATTAGATGCAAACAATTGGAAGCCAAAGAGCGGAGGATTGTTTTCTATTTTACTACATGCCTCTCCACATTTTCAGTCTTCCATCAAGCCTGTTCTTCAGAGGTTTCCAGAACCCTTAAACAAGCAGAGTTATACCCTCATACAAATTCACAGACATTATGTTTCTCGGCATCTATTTCACACACATTGCTGCTTTTGAGAGGAGTATTATCTACCAATACACTGACTGACTTCCAGTCCTGGCTGTGGTCAAGTTGATGACATATACAGCTGTAAACTGGCTTTATGTTTCACAATGAGTGAATGACGGGGGCAGGCGGGCTGGCAGACAAACAAGGGATGCAACAGAAAAATATTCCCAACTTTATTTCAAAACACAGCTGAGCGAGATTCAAGAGAGCGAACAAATCTTCTGACTCCTGCGAGGGGAGTAAACTTTGGCATGGTGGGTCATTCTGTCAAAGTGATTCTCAGATTCCCAGGAGGTCCCTAACAAGCCAACAGTGAGTTTAATCTTATTGTCATGTCCAGTAATTGGTGCAGTTATACTCAGTTTTGCACTGTCGGAATAATTTAATCATATGCTTTATATCTCTCACTGCTGTCAAAGTCTAAACGAGGAAAACACAAGAACCTGCAGTCACATTTTGCAGAGGCAGTCAAACATGTCTCTCGTTGGTTTACAGCAGCCATAACAGCAATAAACAGCAGCTATTAATGAATGTGCCATCTACCTTTACACCCTTCATGTCCCTTCAAGTCACA